TCCAAAGACACGACGAATCAATAATATCCTATTACTTTATTTTTCTTTTTTTGCAAATCCTTAACATCAGCATGAGAATTGACTCTAATCCAGACTTGACACATCAAGACGCATGAAACTATGCGAAACTGATCTGCATCTTACACTATGCAGGTAAAGCAGTCCACTTTCGTCTATTACACCTACTACTGATCTGTAGATTTCCAAACAAGGTCAACATTTGTCAACTTCCGACCAATCACAGAGTTGTATGCAACGGAAGCTGGAATTACTCACCTATCAATCTAATCTACTAGTAATACAGACATGTGATTGGTCATAAAACTGTGAGCCACAAGGTCATACGCCTACGCGAATCGACAGACAATCTTAACAACATTTGAACCGATTAATAAAAATACAGAAAGAAAACATTCACTGGAATAATGCAGTAGTTAGTGCAGGGCCGACTTCACGTGATTTTTGATAGGCTTAAATAACCTAATAATTTTCAACTTGATATGAAAGTTTGAAGCTGCGAATATATAGATTACAAGGGGCTTAGAGACAAGATGGCATAAGATTATAAAAGACAGTTACAACGTGTGCAAAATTAATATTTGATAACTGGAGAAATAATTTTAAAGGCAAATAAAAGGGGATAATTATTTTCAACTGGATATGAATTACAAGAGGCTTAGAACGAATTACAGGTGTGAACAAAATGAGCATGGAAACAAATTGAAATAAAAAATTTTCAGCTTGAAATGTAAGTTAGAAGGTGTGAATATAGATTACAAGAGGCATAGAAACAAAAAGAATTACACAGGATTAGAATATAATTGTAAAATGGTTATTCTAAACGGATTACAAGTGTGATCAGGAGGAGCATGGAAACAAACTTAAAATAATTGACTTAAAATAATTAACTGAAAAACGAAATGGGATGAACTGAGTTAAGATAAAGAGAGAAAATTACGCACGCACAGAGAACAAAACAAAAAACAAAAACGTTTTGTTATCATTATTATGTATTAATTATTCCGTTTATCTACTTTTTTTGTTTGTTGTTGTCGTTTTTGAGTAAATTAGATGCAATACTGTACTGAATGCTGAAAATTCCTTGCTGTATCATTAATACTGTTTTTGGAATAAAGCAAAAATTATTATTATTATTATTAACAAACGCATTAGTGAGCATCTTCCTTCATGGTTCTGAAAAGGTCAAATAAAATCTATAAGAAGTTCTATTTTGACGCATTTGATTGGTGATAGCGGTCACCAAGTGGACAAAAATAGTGCCACCTTGAAAGTTGTCTATCGCATTCTGTCGAGCCTTTCAAACGGAATTCGAAACCGTCTTTTACACATAGTCGAAGCTATGGGAATCAAATCGAGAGAACAATCCTAGTCTTTGCATACAAAAGAAGTTTGTTCTACCTTTGTCTCTCCCTTTGCTGGCCTAGGTGAATTCTATTCAAAACCCTCCCAACCTTTCTTATTTTCCATCTCCTTTGTACTTTTATGATATTTATTTAAACTCTGATTATCTGTCCACTCCACCTACCTTTAGTATTACGTAACCTTTAAGATTTGACCAAATTTATTTACTGAATTGTCTACATACACACATATTACTACCTTCATATAGTAGTATGAAATGCAATTAAAATGTTTGTGATTATAATCATAGTTCAATGTGAAGTGGCACAACAATTAATGTCATATATAGAATAATTCATAGGATGGATTGAACTTGAGAAAGGTGTGCAATTATAAGATTAGTAGACAAATCGAATAAAATAAAAACGTTACGTAATATTGTGTGAAATTTAATAGCATAGAATGTAATGTTGTAAAAAGGAATTGACTTAGAATGACAAGTGAAATAATACCGGGGACAGTTAAAAGTGAGAGTAGTAATAGGAACAAATGACGTAATAGGGAAGAGTATACAATTTTTATTTCATTCGATTTGTATACTAATCTTATAATTACACACTCTTTTTCAAGTTCTATCCATCCTATGAATTATTCTATATAGGACATTAATTTGCTTTGCCACTTGATATTAACTGGCTAGGGGTCGCGCTATGTCGTGAATTGGCAGAAGTTAGAATTCATGGGCTGGCCACTGGATCGGGTCCCAGTGGCTTAATGGTATACGAGCTCGCCTTGTAACCAGAAGGTCCTGGGTTCGAATCCCGCGGTGTGGGTGCGTACTGATGAAGAGTCCCAAACTAGGACGAAACAGCTGTCCAGTACTCCCTGCAGGTTTTCCAATGGTTCTCTAACTAATGTCAGCTCATGATGAAAATCCTGTAACCAATCAAATCCCTACATACCAACACTTGAACATTTTAGTTTTAATTGCATTTCATATTATTATTATTATTATTTTATGCATTCACACCTTTGACCTAACTCCCTCACCGGATATAACTTCTTAAAAAACTATATATATATATATATACGATTGTACAGCTTGATGATAAATTCGTTGAAAAGAGTCTCTTCGCTGAATCATTTGTTTTGATTTTCTATATGTTACAATGGGAATTTTCTATGATCATTATAATCATTGTTATTAATGATGTTCAAAACATTTACCACATTATTATTATTATTACTATTATTATTATTATTTAATCAACAAAATCACCGTCATTGGTTAAAAATTTTTATATATAAATCTATGTAAATTAGAGCAAAGCCTGGAGAAGATCTAATTGAAAACAACAATATACTTCACTTATATTTCTTGTTCTATTATAAATCATGGGAATATTTAAAGATTTGAAAATAACTGTGTCCAAATACTAGTCCGCTCATAATCCTATGGCTTTTGAATGACTTAGCAACAAGCTGTTTGTAGTCAGTCTTTTCTTATGACACCAGCTGTCATTGTTCCTGATATAGTTCAATATTTTATGACAATGACAACAGTAGAAAAAAAAATATGATCAAAGTTCAACAATAGCATCCCAAGGGATGGGAACACATGAGTGACCTTCAGCTGACCAATCATAAAAGTGAGGAACTTTTGCACAAAAAATGATGACGTATATTTACAAGAAAATGCATGAGAACACATTACACAGGGTATCTTTCTCTGACATGATTTAGAAATGCGTCCCAGTTATAATGAGGAGTATCATTTGCTAAGTTAGACCAATTTCCGTACATGTATTCACCGAGGTGACTGAAGATGAGATGTTCTTGTGAATCGTTCATCTCTCTTATCTTGTTTTGCACTCTTCCCTAAAAACCTTCGGTTGAATTATTACTATGGTTTCCAGTAAGAGGATCGACGACCACTTACCAGGAAAATGTGGTTAATAAAATATATTAAAATAAATGACATTACCCCTAAACCTATCCCTAATCGTAACCCTAATATTAATCAGAACTCTTATCCTAACCGTAAACCTAACCCTAATCCTAACCTTGGCCCTGATCCTAACCCTAACTAGCTATTAACACATTGTCCAAACAGTACTTAAAAAGGTGATCTGGGTGAAATTTCCTGCTTAGCTGTGGTGAAAAGCGTTGATATTTCAGCTATAACAATGACAGCTGCCATTAGCCAACGACTGGCATGCGTTCAAGGTCATTGGAGCCTTCCCACTTTTGGGACGCTATTGCTGAACTTCGCCAAAATATGAAGGTGTGAATGCGTGTTTTGCTTTAGAAATTTACAGAAGTGAATATAAATGTGCTTCATTAAAGCTTTTTAAAGGGATAAGAGGTTAGAGGGCAAAAGTAAAAAACAAACAGATACCACAGTCAAATGACCTTGAACTGACCAATCCAATCATTCAACATTGAAAATAAGTGTTTCTGATACTCTACGTTGCAAATTTAACCCTGATTCAGGATTAAGGTCTTGGGGTAGAGTTACAGTTAGGGTGAGACTTTCAACGAAGTTTAAGGACAGGGTCCATTTGAAATGTTGAGCGGTGTGACTATCATCATCAGTGGGGTATATTCATCATAAACTCTGTCATTCATTTCAATTAGTGGATCCTATAAGTAGAACTCATATTGCGTTGAGAGCTGTCTGCTAGCCAAAATTGGTAGACATCAAATTTACGTCAATGTTTACGTCCCGAATCGGGGTCATGAGAAAACAAACAAAACAAGAACAAAGACTAACTCAACAACCAATCACAGCAGACTTTGTTTGCGTGGGCGGATATGGCTCGCAGATATATATATATATGTGGTCTGACCTTCAAAGAAACGGCAACAAAGAGATGAACAAATAACCTTCACCGACAAAACAACCAATCAGAAGACTCTGTTTCTCTGCTAACAATAACGCTAATAATAATGTACATGAAAATCGATAAATATCTGTTGATTTTCCAAATAAACAATCTGTTAACTGGCTCTTGTCTTTTGTCGTTACACCATAACCACTTCTTTTGTCTTCTCCCGTTACAATAATGATAATAATCTTAATAGAAGTATTGGTCATTTGATAATTTATTCGGATAAGTTATCTATATTCGAAGTGCAAAATTCGACTTTAAAACTTACCTTAGTTACACTTCCAATCATATTTTCTGATATACTATTCAATTGACTTTGTTTCGGCAAATCATTTATAGGCTTTTCTTTAGCAGTATTGAATGAAAGTTGATTAGTGTCTGGTCGTATTGTTATTGTCGTCTCTGTAGTAGAATTAACTAGTCCATTGCAAGTTGGTAGACTTTCTAAAAAAACGAAAGACAAGAAGAGAAATAAAATAAATAAAAATGATTTTCATCATGAGCTGACATTAGTTAGAGAACCATTGGAAAACGTGGGAGTACTGGGAAGCTGTTTCGTCCTAGTTTGGGACTCTTCAGCAATACGCACCCACCAGGTTTAGAACCCAGGACCTTATGGTTACAAGGCGAGCTCGTATACCATTAAGCCACTGGGACCTAATCCAATGGCCCACGAATTCTAACTTCTGCCAATTCACGACATAGCGCGACCTCTAGCCAATGTCTTCGGCGAGTATTTGTCCTCACACCCAACCTGCTGTACCCTACTGGTCACGACTTCTCACTAGAACCCCAGGTAACTACCTACCTGAATAGGGTAAGTCGCTAGTGAGCATCTCATTGATATTCAAACCAACACTTGAAAATAAAAATGATTCATTACTGTGATGATGAGTGAAGTAAATAGACGATTTCGTGATGTGTGTATGTGTGTGCCTCATCGGGCAGTGGCTTTATGCGTGTGTGTGTGTGTGTGTAGTTCAGTGGTAGAATGCTCGCCAATCGCGAACGCATTCCGAGGTCGATTCTAAGGCTCACCAAGCCGGCAGTAAACCCAGAAAAAGGAAAAGTTGAAAGTGAGGCTGACTGACTGGATTCAACATAGAACTTTGCACAGATGCGCAGCAGTTCGAGTCACCACACTCCCGCCATGTACTACACAGAGCAAGAGAAGAAAATAGAAGAAATGCAAAATAGAGACAGTAAACAGAAATGTGAGGCAAAAGGAATAGTAATATGGAAGAACAATATAGTTTCATTGGATATTATAAGTCACAAGAAGTGGATGCATCTGCGCCAGCCATTGACAACGATCACTTTCAGCCATATACATCATTCCTATCTCTGTTGTACTCGAAGCGACGCCTGACTCCTTGTTTCCTATTCGGGTTCCACTGAAGGGTCTGGCGAAGGATGTGATTTGGCGGTCTCCTCAGAGAGTGTCCCATCCAACTCCTTATTTTTTCTACATGTCTGTTGACCAATAGGTTCTTCATTGGTTTATTACCAGAGTTTCCTATTCCTGATTCTTTCTGTCTGTCTGTTTTCCACATAGAACTTTGCACCTATGTGCAGCAGTCGAAGTCTCCACACTCCACGTAGCACACAAAGCAAGAGAAGAAAATAGAACAAATGCATAATACAGACAGTAAACATAGGTGTGAGACAAAGGAATAGTAATAACGAAGAACAATATAGTTTCATTGGAAATTATAAGTCACAAGGAGCGGATGCATCTGCACCAGCCATTGAGAACGACGAGTTTGAGCCATATCACCAGTTGTTTCCATCAAATGGTTTTTACTGTCCCGAGGACCCCAACCAGGAAGCCAGTCTACACCTTCCTACGTGGCTTAAACTAACTGTCGTGGATTTCATTGGCTGATGAAGCCATGTTTTGGTTTGCCCATCACTGGTTAACTCTTTTCCAACCTGGCTCTATATCAGTTAACATGGCCCGTCGAGAAAGGCGACACAACAATATACAACTGGTTACTTGAGTACTGTCAGTACACTGACAAGATAGAATACACAAACTTATATGGCAAAGATCCACTTTTTGCACGGATTCGATTGATTCTGCGTTTGATCACGAACTGGTGTTAGTTAATTACAGAACTATTGGAAACCACCAGGGAGTACTGGACAGCTACTTTGTCTCAGTTTTTGGTACTCTTAAGCAGCACGACGCGAGCACCAGGGTTCAAATTCAGGCATTTCAGGTTACAATACCAGGAGTCGACCTAGTGGCTCATAAATTTCAACTTCTGCCAATTCTCAACAGTCAGTGTCATCGGCGAGTAACTGTCCTCTTACCTGACTGACTTCTTGGATCACTCTGATCACGACTTCTCACTAGAAACCCAGGTGACTTTCTGTATAGGACTGGACTGGAGCAGTTTCAACCAACGACTATGCACCTATGTGCAGCAGTTGGAGTCGCCAAACTTCACTCAGCACACAAAGCCACATAAGAAGAAAGTAATAAGAAACGCAAAAAAGAGACAGTAAAGAGAGATATGAGGCAAAAAGAATAGTAATGCCGAAGAACGATATAGTCTTATTGGGTATTATAAGTTACAAGGAGTGGATGCATCTAACTGTGACAGCCATTGACAACGATTTCGAGCCATAACATCAACTGTTTCCAGCCTTCATTGGATATACCGTCCACAGGACCCCAACCAGTCAGTCAGGAATTCTCCACCTTTCTACGTGACTTCAATTAACAGTTGTGGATTTCATTGACTGATGAAGCCATGTTTTTGGTTTGACCGCCACTGGCCAACGCTTTTCCAACCGGTTCCTGTGTCAGTCAGTTAACATTGACTGTCGATGAAGGCGACTGTTGGCTGGGCATGCGTAACACATGTCCTAACCATCTTTCAATCGATGTAGCTTCGCAAACTCGTCCTTATCTAACACTTAAAGCCGAACCACATTATTACTCACCCCAAGATACCAACTAACATAGGAGGTAGAACACAGACACCTTGACCAAAGACAATTAGCTAGCCTTTCAGTGGCCACGCATCACGGCTGTACAGGAGAACGGAGTGAACTGCTGCGCGGTGCACACATCCTTTGGTCGATAGCCGTATATATATCACGTTTAAGTAGAGATGGCGTGAGTTGGCCAATGCCAAACTAACAACAACAACAGCCAGAATACCGAATAACAGTTAAGAAATTGAAATTCCAGAGTGAAGGCTTTTTTGTATTTTACCATCCACAAGGAAGGGTACATCAGTGAAAAATTATATTTGTGCAAATCTCAGCGAGATTGAAATGAGTAACTGCAACGTTTCCTACATTCAGCAACCTGGTCCGAACTTCTTCAGGGAAATTAATCGAAATTAACATAACAGAGGTTTATATATAAAAGGAACATCACTTGTTTTTAAAAACTTTGTCCAATCATGAGTCATTCAACAAGTATGACAAACAAAATTTTATGAGCTGTGATCAAAATTTGACCTCGGACTTACAAATATTGGTCCACCTTTGTAAAACACTTTAAACAGAGTGTGTATGTGTGTGTGGGTAAACAGTTGTAAAACATTTGTTAACCTCTTCATAAGAAGATATAGACAATTGGGAATTTTGACCAAGTATTATTAATTAGTGATACATATCCATTTTTATTTATTAATCAGGATTTCCTATGCATCAGCTAACAAGACCACACCTTCATGTCTGTTCAAACTGTTAGCATCTAGAATTTTATGATTAGACGTATTTTCAAAATTATGGTGTTTAGGATTGGAGTTTATTAGAAGCACCCTGTCGGACTTATTGCTTTGTCTTCTTTCTGAAGATTGAGCTGCTTTATTCTACCTACTGGAGAGTTGTCAGGTGACTCGACAGCTACGGATTTAGAATATGCATTCTGTTGCAGCCAAAAGAAAGTGAAAACACGATGATTGTGCCAATTAGCATAGTTTCTTTGTTAATTTAATTCGATTGCAAAATATTTCAAATGAACTGTCGTCAAGATTTGGCAGAATACTTCTAAAATATTTGGGCGCCGAGTGAGAAGTAGACATTTGTAAAAAATTATGTTTGTAATATCTCAGCGAGATTGAAATGAGTAATTCCAACGATTTTAAAAACAAGTGATGTTCCTTTTATATATAAACCTCTGTTTGGTTAATTTCGATTAATTTCCCTGAAGAAGTTCGGACCAGATTGCCGAATGTAGGACACGTTGGAATTACTCATTTCAATCTCGCTGAGATTTTACAAATATAATTTTTTACAAATGTCTACTTCTCACTCGGCTCTCAATTATATTTTAGAACTATTCTGTCCAATCTTGATGACAGTTCATTTGAAGGGTACATCAATTTGACAAAAATAAACAGCTGCGCTACCAATTACTACTAATTTATTTCTAAATGTTAGTGTATATGTGAATTTTTTTAAAGAATGCTTTGATTTATTACTATTATTGTTATTATTATTGATTTGCTGTTCATACAATCTCCTGTATGCCACTCTCAGACACACGATCAGTTGGTCATTTCCCCATTCGAGATCCATTTGAGTACCATATTTTAAAATTAGATCACAAAAATGACATCATTTAGAGTACTAGATTACTGGACAGGTTTTTCGTCCCTAGCTCGGGACTCTTCAGCACTGCGTACCCAAGGAGACCAACTAGATGCATACAACTGTCCAATACACTCTGGCTTTAACTAGTTCTCTAATTCACGTAACATGAAATTGCCTAGAATATGCACGCCTACATACACACACACACACACAAACACACAGACTTACGACAAATCTGATCCAAATGAAGCAATTGGACATCGGATGTAGATAAACCAGTATAACGTGAAGGTATATACTCGTACAACTCAACTCCTGATTCATTATTTGTAGGGAATGAAGATGATTGGACACTTTTTTGAAAGGGTTGAACATTGTGAAATGTTGTAGTAGCCAAATGATCAGTATTACCATTAGTCGATATACAAATACTACGAAAATTGGAATTTTCACCGGAAGACTCAATCTTATGCTGTTCTGTAGTAGCTGACATATTTCCCTGAAATATACACATAAATAATATAGAAATACCCGAAATATGATATGATATATATAATCGGATAAAAGTAATCAATAAAAGAGAGGGATTCCTGCAAACCACTGTGGTGAGAGCTGTCTGCTAGCCAAAATTGGTAGACAGCAATTCACGTCAATGTTTACGTTCCAAATCAGGGTCATGAGAAAACAAACAAGACAAGAACAAAGATTAACTCAACAACCAATCACAGCAGACTTTGCGTGGGCGGATACGATTCACAGATATACGGTTTGACCTTCAAAGAAATGGCCACAAAGAGATGACAGAATAACCTTGAGCAAGAAAACAACCAATCAGAAGACGCTGTTTCTCTGCTAACAATAACTCTAATAATAATGTACATAAAAATACATAACTATCTCCTGATTTTCTCAATAGATGATCTGTTGCCTGGCTCTTGTTCTCTGTCGTTACACCATTACTTGAGAATTATTCTGATACTCACTAGGGACTGGCTTTATAAAGGAAGTTATCTGGAGTTCTAGTGAAGAATCATAGCCAGTGTGGTCCATTAAGTTAAGGAAGAGATTAGTTACTCATCGATGACATTGTGTGGCTCTTGTGTTATGCACTTCATCAATTGCCAGAAATTAAAATTCATTTGCGATTGGATCCAGTGGGTGGGTAAATAGTTTACGCGCTCTCCTTGCAACCGGAACGACTAAGGTTCTAACACCAGTGGGTGGGCACTACTGAGGAGTCCCAAACCGGGATGAAACAGCTATCCAATACTCCCAGATAGTTTTCCAATGCTTCTTGAACTGATGTCAGCTCGTGATTAAATCTGAAAGATTTCTCAAACGAGTGAAACGGCCATGCGACATGTTAGGCCACTTTGATCTTGGTTAGCAAACACATACTTAGATGGATGTGATTGGTTATCCTACTACTCACATCAAACAATCAGTAGTATGTATATCACCATTCTAAGTATGCGATGAAAAATTATTCATCCAAAGAACACATGTTATTAAATTTTTATCTTAGTCAATCAATTGTCAACATTCGTCTCATCCCAGTTTGCGACTCTTCAGTTGTGCGCACTCCTGACCCCATGATGGATCAAACCCAGCGGATTACGAGGTGGGCCCGTTGATCAACCAGTCACTGGGGCTACTGCTTCGCCAGCTACGCAAGTGGTCCAAGTTCAACGCCTGGCCGACGCACTCATACACTTAGCTTAGCTTGTGACGACAGAAAACAAGGACCAGGCAACAGATCGTTTATTCAGAAAATCAACAGATATTTATAGATTTTAATGTACATTATTATTTGCGTTATTGGTAGCAGAGAAGAAACGTCATCTGATTGGTTGTTTTCTTCCTCAAGGTTACTCTGTCATCTCTTTGTGGCCGTTTCTTAGAAAGTCAGGCCATATATCTGCTTATCGTATCCGCCCACGCAAAGTCTGCTGTGATTGGTTGTTGAGTTCATCAAGGTTGTGCTTTGTTCTTGATTTTTCCATGACCAAGATTTGGGACGTAGACATTGGTGTAAATTTAATTCAGTTTTAGATGTTCCCGTCGATTGATTAGACCGAAATGCTCGGTCTCATGGTTGACATGTCGGCTTCCTGTGCAGATGCTTCAACGATGTCTGGTCATGTAATTAGAGGTTGATTGGTGGATGGTGACTAGCATTGGAATCCAGGATAACGCGCATTTCGTCCTGTTTGGGACTTGTCAGCCGGATGTACGTGCATTCCGTAGGTAATACGACCCGTTGGACAAGAGTTGGCTCTCGTGACCCAAGTGGTCTAGTGGATAACGCTTTGGCGTTTGAAACTATGGGCACTTGGTTCGAGTCTCATTAGGAACATTATCACTCACCCAAATGACGAGTCCCAAATAGGGCGGAATCCGCTTTATCATGCATTCCACTGCTAGTCACCATCCACCAATTAACTTCTAATTAACGTAAATTGTTGTCTACAATTTTAGCTAGCAGACAGCTCTCACCACAAGCTTACTAAGCGTTAGTAAACCTCGAGAAGAGGGAACGACTTGTGTGGCCGGCAATCCTATCCCATTTCACTTGGAACACAAGGAATGGCAAAAATACTAAATGGGGCTTTGTAGTAAAATAGACTTTAAACTCACATTTTGATTTATTTTCCCCTCTCTACACGGAATCAATATTTGAGAATTATCGATAGGCAATATTGACTGTGAAATTGGCATACCGGTGTTAATTGTTTGTAATTCAGCATAGTTTAACAGAGAATGACCAACTGCTTCATTAGAAATAGGATAAGCGAATATTTCCTTGTCTAAAATTATCATTAAAAAACAAAGTAAAACGGCGACCAATTGAGAATTAATATTTCCTTACATTATTAACGATAAAAAAGAAGCAAAGTTGTGAGAATAAAAGGGCCTAATGGGTTTATAAAGGAGAATGATGCTCAAGGGAGGGGGGCTTCGTGTGCTCTTGGAAGTGTGTGACCGGTTGTTACTTCCCGGATGCCCACACCGTGGAAGTTGATTTTCCTTCTTCGGGTACCTGAAACAATAAGAGGGTTAGTGTTGCGTGACCGCAGAGCCTAGGGGACAACTGCTTGAGGCCAGTCGGTCATACACAGCCTGCATGAACTGGTTTCTGGGATTGGTTCCGTATTAGTAAATTTACCACCGGTTACGGACCACAGTAGGGTAAGTCGGGATGTACAATTTTTGGGTAGACCTTTTCTAACCCTCTGTCTCTCTCCGGAGTGGAGAGACAGCATAGCTGGCTAGCATGCTGGTCATCTGAGGCGAACACCTCACTGCTGTTGTATCCCTATTCCCCAACAGTTCGACTTCGCCCACAGACCCCCAGCGTGGTGTGAACGAAAAATTCTTACACTAAGCCGGTAACTGCTTTTATTCTAATCTCGCTATCCTAACAACCTTCCTGACATGGTAGGATCTGCAGGAACAATAGTTCCAGCCAGTGTAGCTTGTTGGGTAATTGCGATGTGCAAGCCCAATCAACACGTCAAGGTAGCAACTATCAGCCAGGATGAGTTATTAAGATTTATATTCAACCCAGCCTTAACTAGTCAGTAACTAGTGTAATACGTCTATGCCTTACTTTGTTACAGACTGAATTCCATCGGTCAGTGTTTCAATATGGCCACCATGATAGGCTGCAGATAAGTCTTGCTGACTGGTGAGTGCCAACTAGTAACGAAACCTACGTCAAGCAAGGCTTCCTGCCGATTGCCTTCAACCATACACTAACAAAAATTCACAGTGCACCGTGATGCCGAACCACCTATTATGGTGGCCACATTACACACTCGACCTATAGAACTCAGTCTGTACCAAAACAAGGATTAGATACAATACGCTGATTACTAACTAGTGTCCAGTCCTACAGGACGTCAGTTGTAAGGCGGAATAGCTCAGTGGTAACCTCTTTGACTACAGGCAGCACTGGGTGAAATGGGTCCGAATCTCAGAAGGGAAATTAATTCCTTCAAGGTTGCGAAAACACCTGCCTTGCTGACTGGTGAGTGCCAACTAGCACAAAGCCTAGGTACAAGGCTTCCTGTGGCCGATTGCCTCCAACCATCTAATATCAACAAGACAGAGATTATGTTTGCACCAAAAAGTATACAAATTGGCACGTACTACACCAGTATTTTTATGAGTTAGTTTGTACGCATCGGATTTATTTCAAATTTGATCACAGATTATAGAGCCATTTATAGCTCCATTGAAAACGAGTGAGTACTCGACAGGTGTTTTGTCCTTGTTCAAGATTCTTCAGCATTACGACTACCCCACCAGGGAGCAAACCCAGGATCTCTACGTTACAAGGCAAGCTTCTTGACCATTCAGTACTTGGGCTGGAATTCAGCAGCCCATGAATTCTAACTTCCGCCGATTCGTTATTTTAATGCGACAGCCAGTCAATGTTATCAGTGAGTATTTCCTCTACACCCAACTTGGTATCTCCAGCTGGTTACTTCTCCCCACCAGGAAAGCAGGCAACCTCATCCTGTAGCCAATCACAAGTCAGCTGACAGCCACGCTAAAATCTCTGATTGACAGAGAGTATAAATGTTGGGTCCGAGCTACAGGAGGAACCGACGAGGACGTCAAATTGAGAATCAAGAAAGCGAGAAACACATTCATCAACCTGAAACCAATCTGGAAATCTTCGTCACTCAGCCTGCATCAACAACAAAATTCGGATTTTCAATACAAACGTCAAGTCAGTCAGTTCCTCTATACGGATAAGAAACTTGGCCAATGTGTCACAAAGAATATTTCCAACAGCCTGTTGCACACCTTTATCAACAGCTGTCTTCGCTCTATACTGAAGATCAGATGGCCGGAAAGAATCACCAACAAGAAACTATGGGAACAAAAAAACAAAACAAGAACCAATCGCCTTTCAACAAATATGCAGGAGAAAATGGAGATGGATTGGACACTCTCTGAGAGAGGAGGCCGCTGGGTGACGTCGCGCGTCAGGCCATAGCTCGAGTGGAACCCGGAAGGGAAGCGGCGAGTGGGACGTCCAAGGGTGACATGGAGGAGATCATGTGAAGAGGAGTTGAAACAGTATGGATTAACATGGATGCAGGTGAAAAGTACAGCAGAAGACAGAAGCAAGTGGAGGCGTGCAGTTGAAGCCCTATGTTCCACTAGGAACCCAAGGGAACAATAATAAACAATAAATAAATGTTGGGTCATTGGATTCCAGTCCAAATGTTTGACCGATCAAGAAGCCTGCCCTGTGACGTCTAGGTCCTGTATTAGATTCCTGGTAAGGTCGCTGGTGTGTGCCGATGAAGAGTCCCAAACTACGACGAAATGACTGTCCAGTACATCCTAGTTGTCAGTGGTTCTCCAACTGACAACAATCCTTGACCAAAGTTGGAACTAAACCAGTCTGTTGTGGTCAATTTGAGATACCATCGAAAATCACGTCATTAAGGCTGATGCACACTCCAAAATCGGTGAACTGATCAATACTTATCCAACCATTTCGCTATTTTCCCTTAAACTATAGAGTTAGTGAAGACCAATCCTATAACAAAATCTTACAATAGATAGGAATGAATCACATGCCAAACAAACTCTGCTTCTGACTCAATGTGTTCAGAGGACTTTTGTATTTTTCTTTTAGAGTTTTCACCTAAAGGGATTAATATCAAATGCAGACTCTAGATGACAGTCAAACTCTTCTCTGCAAACAAGTCAATCCTAGATACATCTAGATCGGAAGTCGTCACTTCCATAAGTGCGTTTTTTATTTTTTATTTTCATTTTTTTATTACAGCTTCATGCCACACCGTATTTTCAGTACAAGTATTGAATTTTCAGCATGGATATCGGTAGCCCAAATTTTTCCGGCCGACCATAGATATCGAGTGTGAGTCGGCAGGGGATCGAACCCCGGACCATGTGCATGGTCGGCGAGAGTCCTAACCACTGAAATGAAATGAAAGTGGTGAAATTTGATACTCCCGATGGACAGGAATGGTTGTCTTCACATCGGCGGAATACACTTATCCGTCAACTCTTATACGGTTGCATAAGTATGACTACAAAGTGCATTGATTAGTACAATATACTTCCTCCGAATCCACCCCCTTCAAAGCCACACAGATTTCTCCAGTACTTTTCAATCGACCGAGTCAAGTGACGCCTTGGAAATTCAGTGAAGAAAATTCTCTTTATCGATGAAATCATCTTCACAGGCTGTACATAATTGTATTTATATATTTACCAAAAAATGTATACTAGTCTATTATTGAGTAATATGGGGTGACATAATTGATATAATTACTCGGAAGTGGCTTTAGAGGTAAAAAAAATAAAAGTTGTAAATTATGGGGTACTCAACGGCACAAAGTTAGAAATTTGATATGGTTAAAATTGTTATTGAGTGAGAATAGAGGTGGTAGTTGAGTGTCAATTTAACAAGTGTGAAGAGGGTGTGAAAATGTACAATGCCACGTAGCTCCACCGGAGTCGTCCTTCGAGATCATCCACAAGGTGAAGCCGAATGATACAAAGGGCATCAGGTTTCGGCTTTTGTGTATGATGAAGGCGCTGGCAATTCGTCAATACAACCCTGATCTCTGTGTACAGAAAACGTTTGTCCAGTCTGTTATTCTGACATGGTATTCTTCACTAGTAGTCCTCTGTAAAAATTTTTAATTTTTTCTGCTCTTAAAAATTTTACTTTTAGTTTGTTTTTGCTTTAATAATTAATTCACTATTATCACTCTCATATGTTCCCTGTTATACATTTTCACACCCTCTTCACACTTGTTAAATTGACACTCAACTACCACCTCTATTCTCACTCAATAGCAAGTTTAACCTTATCAAATTTCTAACTTTGTGCCATTGAGTGTACCACGTAATTAACAACTTTTAATTTTCACTTCTAAAGCCACTTCTGAGTAATTATACCTATTATGTCACCCCAGTTGTATTACTCAATAATAGACTACTATACATTTTCGGTAAGTATAAATACGACTGTACAGCCTGTGAAGGTGATTTCATCGAAAAACAAAATTTTCTTCGCTGAATTTGTCTTTTACTTTCTTCATGACTCAGTGGGTATTTTCGGTGATTTGACACTTTGCAGTCATAGGAGTTAATGAAAAGACAATTGCAGCGAAGAAAATTTTCTTTTCGACGAAGTCATCATCTAGGCTGTACATTCGTGTATTTATATCAAATGGATGGGAAAGTTCCAGAATAATTTCCGGTTAAGGGTCAAATTAATAAAAAATTACAATTAGGAATTAAAATGACATAACAAACAGGGGGGATGGTAAAACTCGAACAAAGTAGCATTATAATAACTAAGAAGATTGACATTGTGCAATTGGGGGTTAGAAATGTAGAAATAACAAAATAGACAGGATGTTTGGATAAAAAACTAATATGATGAATAATTGTTTATGCAATCAGGGATTAAATATGTAGAAATAGTAAAATGACAAAATAAACAGGAAGAGTGGGTATGAAAATATGGTAGTGTAAACAGGGTTTAAGAAAACTTAAAATAACATGAATAAACAGGAAGTTTAGATAAGAAAGGTGATGAGATTGTCATTACTAAAAAAATTTTACCTGTTTATGATGGCCATGGTAGGGAGAGGGGTTGGACGTAATTCTTTTGGATACAAAGTGTGGGTTTGAGCTTTTGGATAGCTAGCGCCTCAGCTATGCCCAGATGTCTTGATTTGATTCCCTTTGATAGGTTTGATTGAATTTTGTATATTACTTTGAAGGATTTTTCGAAAGGCGCTGAATGTCCTGAGTTGACCAGATGTTCTGTCACTGAACTGTATACACGTTTTCGGTCTCCTTTTACTAGCCAGGCTGGGTAGTGTTCGCGAGCGCGTTTTTCAAGTCGGCGCATGGTACGGCCGATGTACTCAGCTCCACAAGAGCAAGTAAACTGGTATATGCACGTTGAGGTGGCCCAATGCGACGGCTTGTCTTTCACGTTCTGGCTGAACAGTTTCTTGCAAGAAAACGTCAGTCGTAGGCTCGCGGCGAAGTATGTTTTCCTTAGAGATTTGCAGAGACGTTTGCGAAGGATTTCTGCTTCGATATCACCTTTGAATTCGAAGTCGAATGTGTCACGGAGGCTGTGTCACAGCCTTGTTGTTGATTCAATTAAGAATGTCAATGTGGCAGAAAAGAAAATGGTCTCCCTGGATGTTATCTCTCTCTTCATCAACGTTCCATTGACAGAAACCGTTTGTTTCCTTTGCGACTACATTCAATCCAATAGCATCGATGTTGGTATACCGATCCATTACCTGAAAGAACTGTTACTACGATGCACCTTCAACGTATACTTTAGTTTCAACAAGGAAATATACAGGCAAGTAGATGGGGTAGCAATGGGTTCTCCCTTAAGACCCCTATTAGCCGACTGCTTTTTGGCTAGCTTAGAAAACAACCCCTTATCATCAACTATCAACGACCTCCATCTCTACAAGAGATACATCGATGATACTTTCATCATTTGTGACGAGAAGCTAGACCTTGAAAACCTACTCCAAATCTTCAACAACGCCCACCCAAACATCGACTTTACACTTGAGACTGAATCCAACGGAATGTTTCACTTCCTCGACGTCCAGCTGACAAGAAACGCCAACAACTCTCTGAAAAGATCCATATGCAAAAAAACCTACTTGGAATGGTCAATTCATCAACTTCCAAAGCTTCGTGCCCCTAAGCAGAAAGAGGAAACTGATATACGCTCTTTCCTCGAGGATTCGGAAGATATGCAGCGAGGAAGTGATTGAAGAAGAACTGTGTAATCTCCGGAAAACCTTGATGGAAAACGGTTTCCCGCCCAGGTTCATAGACAGAAATCTCAAATCTAAGACTAAGACTTCCGAACAAGTCCAATCCGTTCCAAAGAAAACACTTCTGCTTAATCTAGAATTCAAAGGTGATATCGAAGCAGAAATCCTTCGCAAACGTCTCTGCAAATCTCTAAGGAAAACATACTTCGCCGCGAGCCTACGACTGACGTTTTCTTGCAAGAAACTGTTCAGCCAGAACGTGAAAGACAAGCCGTCGCATTGGGCCACCTCAACGTGCATATACCAGTTTACTTGCTCTTGTGGAGCTGAGTACATCGGCCGTACCATGCGCCGACTTGAAAAACGCGCTCGCGAACACTACCCAGCCTGGCTAGTAAAAGGAGACCGAAAACGTGTATACAGTTCAGTGACAGAACATCTGGTCAACTCAGGACATTCAGCGCCTTTCGAAAAATCCTTCAAAGTAATATACAAAATTCAATCAAACCTATCAAAGGGAATCAAATCAAGACATCTGGGCATAGCTGAGGCGCTAGCTATCCAAAAGCTCAAACCCACACTTTGTATCCAAAAGAATTACGTCCAACCCCTCTCCCTAACATGGCCATCATAAACAGGTAAAATTTTTTTAGTAATGACAATCTCATCACCTTTCTTATCTAAACTTCCTGTTTATTCATGTTATTTTAAGTTTTCTTAAACCCTGTTTACACTACCATATTTTCATACCCACTCTTCCTGTTTATTTTGTCATTTTACTATTTCTACATATTTAATCCCTGATTGCATAAACAATTATTCATCATATTAGTTTTTTATCCAAACATCCTGTCTATTTTGTTATTTCTACATTTCTAACCCCCAATTGCACAATGTCAATCTTCTTAGTTATTATAATGCTACTTTGTTCGAGTTTTACCATCCCCCCTGTTTGTTATGTCATTTTAATTCCTAATTGTAATTTTTTATTAATTTGACCCCTAACCAGAATTTATTCTGGACCTTTGCAGTCAGTAAATAAAGCATCTCGTACTGATGCATCTCAGCAGCCTGTGATTCCCAACCACACAATCTACAGCTCCGCACCTGTCTGGATCAAATTAACGACCAAAAGACTTCATGGATTGATGTTAGGATTCGATCTCACCATCCCTAATTCATTTCTAACCTGAAGGACAAGATCCCGCTGTTGACCAAATCTATGTGCGTTTATCAATTCACCTGCTCGTGTGGAGCTAGATATATTGGTAGTTCGACTCTGGTTTTGTCCAAGAGGCTGGCAAGAACACTATCCCTCTGCATGGTTACGAAGAGGTGGAAGTGGAGCTATAAGAAGCGCGATCATTGAACATCTGGTCGATAATGATCACTCTATCTCTACAGCCTCCGCCTTTAAAGTCATCTACAAGGCAAAAAGTAATTTATCCGAATCACTACGTATTAGACTCATCTGTACTGCTGAAGCTTTATCTATCGAAACAGAAAAGCCAGATCTCTGTGTACAGAAAATGTTCGTTCAACCCCTCCAACTTTCATGGTCTTAATCCCTCTATGCTACAGGATGGTAATCGCCATTTCATATTTTGGCTCTACCAATTTTTTTCATTTTGTCTATTCAATTTGTATACTCTTCCTTATTACGTCAACCGTTAATATTACTATTCTCACTTCGAATTGTCCCCGGTATTATTTCACTTGTTCCACTTGTCATTCTAAATCAATTTTGTTTAGCAACGTTAAATTCTATGTTATCAAATTTCACACAATGCTACCTAACGTTTTTGTTTTATTCGATTTGTCTACTAATCCTATTATTGCAAACCCCATCCAAGTTCTATACATCTTATGAATTATTCTATGTATGACATTAATTGTTTCGTCAATTAACTATGATTATAATCACAAACATTTTAGTTTTAATTGCATTTCTACTACTATTATTATTTTCTGCATTCACACCTTTGACCTAATTCCCACACTGGATATAACTTCTTAAAAAGGCCATTTATATATTCCATTGTACAGCTTTATAATAAATTCTTTGTTGAAAACAGTCTCTTCGCTGAATCACCACTTGTTTTGCTTTTCTACATGTTACAATGGGAATTTTCCATGAATTAGAAAATAATCCTATATCACCTCACATTTACTGGGTGATGGAAGGCAGTGCCTCAGCATGTGCGACATGTGCTCCAGTCATGTCTACTTTAATATGTGATACATCGATATATATATATATATATATATATATATATATTAAAACAATTAGTCCCTTTGATAAATTTGAATAAGGCATTTAGAAGACAAATTTCGCTAGATGATATCTTCATATCGTAGTTTCTTTACAACCGCTTTACAACTAACATAGTTAACAATAATAAAATAAAGATCATAACAATTACTCAGTTAAATAAAAAAACAAATGTACATACTGATGACTAATCATATTTAGATAGGTCAAGTAGTCCAGGGTAGGCGAAGATTGAAGTCTATTGATTTTTGTATACACAGTTTAGGCTGTATGTGATTAATCCAAAGTGCTTCCATCACCTTCAATAACCAGCCTTGAATTAGAGTTATGTGAAATAATTGTGAAACAGTCATTAATATTGATTTTGTAACCTGACATTAATAAGTGTTTTGCAATGGATGATGCTGGATTTCTATTCAGATTACTGGCATTGGGATTTACAATATGATTTAGTAACCATTTTGGAACATGTTCTTTCCGACGACATTGGGACATTCTGTTGGTTCTACCTATATAGGTGTCACCGCAGCTGCAGGTGAACTTGTAGATACAGTTTGAAGTAGAGTTCACAGAATTTCGTCCTTTAATCGTAGGTAGAGGGATCGAAAATGTTCGGCAAGTGAGAAAAAGAGATGCGGCGTAGAATGTCCGTTTGATGGCTGACCGAATTCTTTGAGCTGTCAACTGCATAATCTGGTCACCCTTGAAAGGTAGGTTAATAAAGATTGCTTTCTTTGGTACCGAAGCTGTCTTTTCGAGATGTGGTCTTTCTTTACTGTGACAAGTGATAAAGTTTTCCGGATAACCATTAGCTAATAAAACTGAATGTATGTGTCGAACCTCATCCATCAATGTGTCACTCGTGCATATTTTTCGGGCCCTTGAGAACAAACATTTCACTAGGGAACGTTTATAGTGGATAGGAACAAAACTGGTAAAATGAAGATATTGTCTACTCCATGTCTGTTTACGAAAAATAGATCTCTGAATCGTTCCATCATCTCTCCTGGTCATAGTAATATCGAGGAAACCGAGTTTGTTATTCGATTCGCGTTCAGAAGTCACTCGGATATTTGGATGAATATGATTAAATAGAGTAATAAAGTTTTCAATAGATTTACTATTATTACCAATAATGAGAGTATCATCTACATAACGTTTATGCAGCATAAATTCTCCAAGCATACCTTGCATTTGTCTCTCTAATTTCGACATGCAAATATCAATAGACTTCAATCTTCGCCTACCCTGGACTACTTGACCTATCTAAATATGATTGGTCATTAGTATGTACTTTTGTGTTTTCTATTTAACTGAGTAATTGTCATGATCTTTATTTTATTATTGTGAACCATGTTAGTTGTAAAGCGATTGTAAAGAAACTACGAAATGACGATATCATCTCGCGAAATTTGTCTTCTAAATGCCCTATTCAAATATATATATATATATATATATATATATATATATATGCAAAAATATAATTTACCGAAATTGCCATCAACAATAATACTACTTCGACAACTTTCCACTCCAACAACATAACCGCCTGTTTCACAATGGAGATTCTCATTCATTGGAGTTATTGTTGTTATCGCTGAATAATTAGCTGGATCTGTGAAAAGACAACAATTGGTAAAGGAAGCAATTACTGAATACTCTGAGAATCTACTTCGATGACAACGAATAATCTTTTTTTCTTTCTACAAATTAATGAAAGCTGTTCTCTTATTTCATATAAAAGATAAACTGCCTAATTCCGCTTCCTACTCCTCCATGTGTATCTACTAATTTAACTGCTACTGTGGAGTGAGCCAGTCAGCTGCTTAGGCCGTACAATTAGGCGTGTATCTTGTCGGATTTCCGAACATCACCCCCTGCATAGTGGTTGGTTAAGTAAAAGGAGAAACAAAATCTATTCACATAGCGCCATTCTATCTCATTTTGTGGATTCAGAACACAAGATTGATGTCAACGAGGCAGCTTTCAAAGTCATTTACCGCATACCAACAAATCTTCACTTCACCTTAAAAGTCCGTTTACTAAATATAGCTGAGGCCGTCGGGATCCACTGTCTAGGTTCGAATGATCCTCAATTTGTTATAGAAATTTCCTCAATTTTAGTTGATATTCTATTGGTTATTATATTTTTATTTCTATTATAGTTTAAGCATCTTTAATGAACTGTGGTAATTCCATTGATCTTACTTAACAAATCGATATCAGATCGAAGATTTTATCATGAGCTGAAATCAGTTAGAGAACCACTGGAAAACCTGTAAGTACTGGACAGTTGTTTCGTCCTAGTTTGGAACTCTCCATCAGTACGCACCCACCACGGGGGGGGCTCGAGCTCAGGGCCTTCTGGTTATAAGGCGAGCTCGTAGACCACTGAACCACTGAACCTCAACAGTCCGCTCCGTCCTCCTTTATGGCTGTGAGTGAGACCTGGCCATTGAGAGCGGAAGGCATGAAAAGATTAGCTGTCTTCGATCATAGGTGTCTGCGTTCTATCTCCCGCGTGAAGTGGTATAATAAGGTGAGCAATATTGAGGTTAGGCGTCGAGTGCTAGGTAAGGCGGGGAAATCAATCGACGAGACTGTGAAATTACTTCGACTGAGATGGTTAGGACATGTGCTACGTATGCCTAGTCATCGCCTTCCTCGACGGGCAATGTTAGCTGATATAGGGTCAGGCTGGAAAAGAGCTAGCGGCGGTCAATCCAAAACATGGCACCAGTCAATGAAATCCCCAACAGTTACTTTAAGCCATGTAGGAAGGTGTAAACTCCCTGACTAGTTAGGTTTCTCGGGACGGTAAAAACCAATGGCTGGAAACAATTGGTGACATGGATCAAAATCGTTTTCAATGTCTGGCGCAGATGCATCCACACTCCTTGTGACTTATGATTTCCAATTAAACTGTTTTGTTCTTCGTTATTGTTATTCCTTTGTCTCACACCTCTGTTTACTGTCTATATTATGCATTTCTTCTACTTCCTTCTCTTGCTTTGCGTGCTACATAGATTGTGGCGACTTGAACAGATGCACATATGTGCAAAGTTCTATGTCGAAAACCGACCGACCGACCGACCGAACCACTGGGACCCGATCCGTTGGCCAGCGCATGAATTCTAACTTCTATAAATATCTCTTAATTTTCTCCATAAATGAACTGTCTCCTGTCGTTACACTATGAATCTACACCTGTATATAAAACACGCCATAATACAATGGGTTACTACCCAACGTCACCATACGAGTAACTCATTCCCTTGGTTGACAGGCGAAATGATTACGTAATCCAACTAGTTGGAATTTCATTCCCTCCAAAAGACAAAACATGTATCAATACAAAATAATGAGTAATACTCAGGTGTGTGTGTGTATAGCGGGGGGGGGGGAATGGAACCATACATCAAAGTTAAAGCATAAAATTTGACTAACCTTGTCTAGGTGTTTGAATACCCTCCTGAATATGTTGTGCATCTTCTGGAGGAGTTATATAAGATACCGTTTCTTCAGTTTCACCATCACTATGATCAAGAAGTAGTAATCGTGGTAAATCTGTTGAATGTATCAACAATGATTGTTGTTGTTGTTGTTGTTTTGGTACGTCTTTCATGTGAGCATCGTTATTTACATAGGCAAAGGAAGGAATGCTGGCGTCTGTTCTATCTGATATAGATGTTGTCCATAATGAAGACAAATCGTTTTGTTGTTGTTGTTGTTCTTGTTGCTGTTGTTGGTCTTCCTCAGATTGATGCTTACCTTCTTCTTGTTGTTGCAGTACTGACTGTAGAATCTGTAAATTCTCTTCATTGTTGTCATCGAAGATCTCATTATTTGTATCGTTTGTAACTGCATGATTGATTTTTGTTGAAGGTTGGAGGATTAAGGTATCCTTGAATTAAATGTACATAGACATTTATAAATCAATAAATTACTTAACCTTCATTTTACTAAAATGGGATATCTCTACGCATTTGTTCACGATGATCAAAGTAATCTCGGTGATATTAGATGGTTGGAGGCCTGTAAGCAGCTGATGAGAAACCAACAAAATAAGTAGTGATGGTACCATTTTATTCTGCAAAAACTGTCGTTGTTCTTACTTTATCCAAATTCATTAAGGGGAATAAATGTATGACAAAGTTATTCAATAACCTTGATATGATTAGAAGGAATGCATTGTACTCAAAACTTCAGCAAATCAACCCGCAATCTAACACCCAATAAATATACCAAAGGATATGGAAGTGGATGGGACATATGCTGAGTAGAAGATAGTGTTCAACATTATCATCATAAGCACCAAGAGATGTGCCGCACAAGAATTCATATTTTATGTGAGGACTGAGATACAAGCCGGACATCCACACCGAAGTAAATGGTTGTTTTAAGGAACCAAATCCTGAACCTATGATTTGAAGCCTGATCAATAAGGCAGTTGAGTAGTGTTAGAAACTGCTGCGTTCTTATGTTTACCGGTGCAAGGAGACAGGTTCATACGCTATTCATTCTGTTCAAATTCTGAAGGCACATGTACAGCGTAGGTTTGGAATCAGAAGTTTTCAACTCCTCTAGGTAAATCTCTACATGCCCACCAGCCCGGTTGTAAGCGTTAGATGTTCACATTCAACCTTTCACTTTTCTGAGGAATACCGTCGAGGCGTGAAGGCAGGGAATAGAAATTACCTGGTAGAGACTAATGAACGTGTGGCAACATGGCAGTATTCCGAGAAGAAACCAAAGTCTACCCATCCTCAGTTGTACCATGTAGTTCATATGCCAGTTTACGCCGTTTCTGGCTTAGTAGACGCGATATCCGTCCTTCTTTATGGCTGTCAGTGAGACCTGGCCACTGAGAGTGGAAGACATGAAAAGGCTAACTAACTGTCTTTGATCATAGGTGTCTGCGTTCTATCTCTTATATGTGTTAAGTGGTATAATAGGGTGAGCAATATTGAGGTTAGGTGTCGGTTAAGTGCTAGGTGAGGAGGAGAAATCAATAGAAGGGGCTATGAAGATATATCGGCTGAGATGGTTAGGACATGTGTTACGCATAACTGGCCATCGATCACCTTCCTCGACGGGGAATGTTAGCTGACATAGAGTCAGGTTGGAAAAGAGTTAGCCAGTGGTGGTCAAACCAAAACACGGCTTCATCAGTCAATGAAATCCACATCAGTTAGTTTAAGCCAGCCAGTCAAGTAGGAAGGTGTAGACTTCCTGACTGGTTGGGGTCTTTGGGACGGTAAAAACCAATGACTGCAGACAATCGGTGATATGGCTCAACATCGTCGTTCTTAATGGCTGGCGCAGATACATCCACTCCTTGTGACTTATAATATCCAATAAAACTATACGGTTCCTCCATATTACTATTCTTTTTGCCTCATATCTCTGTTTACTGTCTCTATTTTGCGTTTTTTTACTTTCTTTCTTCTCTGGCTTTGTGTGCTGAGTGAAGTGTGGCAACTCGAACTGCTGCACATCTGTGCAAAGTTCTATGTTGAAACCAGTCAGTCAGCCAATCAGTCATGTAGTTCATTGGGGCAAGAGACCATTGAGTTGTATCCGAAATCCGGAAAGCCGTCGAGTATAACCCGAATAGGAAACAACAAGTTAGGCAACTGTCCAAGGGTGACATACAGGAGATTGTATCAAGAGGGGGAGGAGGAGAAGATGAAAGCGCCAACAGTCAGTCATGGAGTCAGCTAGTGTACTTACTGCTGAAGTTCTGTTGTGGTGAGAGCTGGCTGCTAGCCAAATTGCTAGACAGTAATTTGCGTCAATGTTTACGTCTCCAATATTGGTCGTGAGAAAAGTAAGAGCAAAGACTGATTCAACAGGAGGGATTTGAAAGAGGTTACTTCATTCACTTATCTAGGGAGCATTGTCTCAACTACAGGCAGGTGGAATGGACGAGGATGTCAAATCGAGAATCGGGAAGGCGAGAAACACATTCATCAACCTGAAACCAATCTGGAAATCTTCGTCACTCAACTCAGCATCAACAACAAAATTCGGATTTTCAATACAAACGTCAAGTCAGTCAATTCTTCTATACGGATCAGAAACTTGGCGGGTCACAAAGAATATTTCCAACAGCCTGTTGCAGACCTTTGTCAACAACAACTGTCTTCGCTCTATACTGCAGATCAGATGGCCGGAAAGAACAAGCAACAAGAAACTATGGGAACAAACAAAACAAGAACCAATCGCTCAACAAATATGCAAGAGAAAGAAGTGGAGATGGATTGGACACTCGATGAGGAGGTCATTGGGTGACATCGCGCGTCAGGCCAGTGCTCGAGTGGAGCCCGAAAGGGAAGTGGCGAGTGGGACGTCCGAGGGTGACATGGAGGAGATCGTGTGAAGAGGAGTTGAAACAGTATGGAATAACATGGATGCAGGTGAAAAATACAGCAGGAGACAGAAGCAAGTGGAGATGTGCAGTTGAAGCCCAATGTTCCACTAGGAACCCAAGAGAACAACAACAACAAAGACTGATTCAACAACCAATCACAGCAGACTTTGCGTAGGCGGATACAATTTGCAGATAGATAATCTGAACTTCAAGAAACGGCCACAAAGAGATGAAAGATTAACGTTCAGAGAGAGAGAAACCACCAATCAGAAGACTGTGTTTGTTTGCTTACAATAATCTATAATAATGTACATGAAAATCTATAAATATCTGTTGATTTCCTAAATAAACGATCTGTTGCCTGGCCCTTGTCTTCTGTTGTTACACTATATTCCAATTGAGACTTTGAAAAAGTACTAATAGCAAATGGCACTAAGAATTAAAACAATCTCAGGCCAAAATAACAAACAGTACAAACAAGTACACTGAATCTAACCTCTTGTTTATTATCATCCCTCCGAAGAGATTGATGCGCGCCATCAGTACACCCAATTGACTGGCCTGCCAGCGATGTTCGAGCACGTGGTTCAGGTGGTTTATCTATTGCCTTTTCCTCCTGTAATTTACTATCGCTGACAGTTGTTTTATCCATTACAGCGGACAAATGATTTATCCGTTGTCTAAGTTGTTCCTCAGCGGCTTCAGTTGCCTTTAAAATACGATTAGCGAAATTTTGCAGTTCTGTCACCGATTCACTGGTATTCAAACAAATTTGATTTAAAGTCACATTCACTGTGTTGTTCTCGTTGGTGTTGAATACAGACTCTGTGGGTAGCTCGAATTTCATTTCATCACAATTATTCGTCTTATCATCATCATCATCGTTATCGTCAGTTCCTTCTTTATCTTCTTCTTCCCTTCTCTGATGTTCCTGGTGGTGGTGCTTGTGCTGGTCATTACTATTACTTGTTTTCGAGGTAAGTTTTTGTGAGTTTTCATCACTTTCTAAATCATCTTAATATGTCGTGAAAATTGATTGGTGACTGACTGTAGTGATGATGCTGACCTTGATAACCATGGTGATCATGGCGATAACGATTATGATATTTATATGCGCTAAGAGAATTATCACCGGAATGTAAAGGTAATGAATTGTACACCGCTTCGTCGTCTTCAGGATCTGGACTTGATATAAATGAACCTTGATTTAATACACCAGCAGACAGAGCAGTTGTCGATAGGCCAGTTTCAATTTTTATTCCTTTAGAAAATACACAAAAGACACACACAGCGTTAAGAGTAAATAAAAGCAGTTAACAGGTAGAGGATATTACCATAGTCAATTGCGGCCAAGTTAAACTTTAAGCACCACTAACAACTACTACCAATGGAGTGCGACTGCACTAATGACCTTGAAACGTTCACTGAGCAAGTTAGTTAGTGAAACCTGGCAAGTAACGTTGTCATCATCAATAAAATATGCTCATCGAAGTGTTATGCTATTAAATGGGATATCTGGCAAGTTTCAGGTTAGGTGTTTGGGAAAGATTAAGTTACGCTTTAAGCCAAGGACAAGTTAGGGTTAGCTTAACCTAATAAAGGCGACATTAGGGTTGGTTCGAGGTGGATTACAGTTAGTTTAGGGATATTTTCACGTTGGGTTCAGTAAAGATTAGGGTTATCGTCAGGGTTAGAAGAACTAAATAATTACGTGCATATAATGTGGTTAAATTACTCTGTTGATATAAGGATAGAACTTGTGCACTGTGGTGGTAGAGTTTAGTTCTATTGTGGGTGAAATTTATTTTGATAAAGTTTCAGGGTGTTATATAGTATTTACTGATGACCACGTTTCGAGCACAATCTGTTGCCCAGGAAAT